TTACAGTGTATTTGTAAAATGTTTTGGAGGCAGTAATTTCTTTAGAAATGAGTGTTGCTATTAGAAACATCTGGTTTTTGTTTGCTGCTCTTTGCTTAATTTATTTATTAGCTTTAGTAGTTTTTTCTTGTGTGGATTCGCTAGTATTTTCTATATATAGAATCATGCCATGTACAAATAGAAATAGTTTTATGTCTTCCTTTTCAATTTGGATGCCTTTTATTTGTTTTATTTACCTAATTGCTCTGGCTAAGATTTCTAATAATGTAGAATAGCAGTGATGAAAGTGGGCATCGTTATTTCTGATTTTAGGAAAGTTTTCACTTTTTATTGAGTATGATGTTAACTGTGAATTTCTCATGAATGTCCTTTATTAGGTTAAGGACGTTTCCTTCTATTCCTAGTACGTTGAGGGCTTTTTTCATGAAAGGTTGTTGTATTTTGTCAAATGCATTTTTTGTGTCTGTTGAGATGATAGTGGTGTGTGTGTGTGTGTGTGTGTGTGTGTGTGTGTGTGTGTGTATGTGTGTGTGTTTATTCTGTTAATGTGCTTTATGACATTGATTGATTTTCTTGTATTGAACTATCCTCACATTCCTGGGATAAATCCCACTTGGTCATGGTGTATACTCCTTTTAATGTGTTGTTGAATCTAGTTTTCTGGTGTTTGGTTGAGAAGCTTTCATTAATATTCATAAATATTTAACTCTATAGTTTTCTTGTGGCATTTTTTGTCTAGCTTTCATAAAATATGATATGAAGTGTTTCTTCCTTTTCTATTTTTTTAAAGTTTGAATAGAATTGTTAATTCTCCTTTTGAAGTGTTTGGTTGATCTCAGTGAAGCCATCTGGTTTTCACTTTTGATAGACTGTTTGTTCTAGATTATCTAATTGGCTGGCATATAAGTATTCTATTATAATCCCTTAAATTTCTATTTAGCTAAATGTTTGTTACTTTTGTTGATCTTTTCAAATAACTAACTTCTGGCTTAATTGATTCTCTATTATTATTATTATTATTAATTAATTTATTTTTTTGAGTTGGAGTGTCACTCTGTGGCCCAGACTGGAGTGCAGTGGCTGCTCCTGGCCACCGCAGCCTCGACCGGCTGGGCTCAGGCGATCCTTCCGCCTCAGCCTTCCAAGTAGCTGGAACTACAGGCACGCGCTACCACACCCGGCTAATTTTTTTTTTGTTTTATTGTAGAGATGAGGTCTCGCCAAGTTGCCCAGGCAGGTCTCGAACCCGCGGGCTCAGGCAATCCACTCACCTCACCCTCCCAAGGCACAGGATTACAGGCTGAGCCACTGAGCTCGGCTTCTATTATTTTTCTATCCTCTATTTTGTTTTTTTCTGCTCTAATTTTTGTTTATTCTGGCTTAGAGTTTAATTTGTTCTTCTTTTTCTAGTTCTTTAAGGCATAAAATTAGTTTGTTGATTTGTGATCTTTTTTAATGTAGGCATTTACAGTTACACATTTCTCTCTGAGCATAGTTGTCATTGTTTCTTATAAGTTTTGGTATGTTGTGCTTTCATTTTCATTCATCTTAAAGTATTTCCTTTTTTTTTTTTTTTTTTGAGTTGGAGTCTCACTCTGTCGCCCAGACTGGAGTGCAGTGGCCTCTCCCAGCCACCGCAGCCTCGACCCGCTGGGCTCCGGCAATCCTTCCGCCTCAGCCTTCCGAGTAGCCGGAACTACAGGCGCGCGCTACCATGCCCGGCTGAGTTTTTGGTTTATTGTAGAGATGAGGTCTCGCCTGCCCAGGCGGGTCTCGAACCCGCGGGGTCGGACAATCCACTCCCCAAGCCTCCCAAAGGGGCGGGATTACAGGCTGAGCCACCGAGCCCGGGCTTAAAGTATTTTCTAACTTTCCTAGTGATATCTTCTTTGACACTTTGTGGTTTAAGAGTATGCTATTTAATGTCTACATTTTGAGGATTTTACCCCCAGTTTTCCTTGTTATTGATTTTAGCCTCATTCCAGTGTGGTTGGAGAAGATACTTGGTTTGATTTTAGTCTTAAAATGTGTTGAAAATTGTTTTATAGCGTAACCACTGATCTATTCTGGAGAATATTCCATGTGTACTTCAGAAGAATGTATAGTCTTCTGTAGTGTTCTGTATATGCTTGTTAGATCTAGTGGCTTTATAGTGTTGTTTAAGTCTTCTATTTCCTTATTGATCTTCTGTCTAAATGTTCTATTCCTTATTGAAAGTGGTGTCTTAAAATCTCCAGCTGTTACTGTAGGATTGTCTATTTCTCCCTTTAATTTTGTCAGTGCTTGGTTTATATATTTTGGGGCTCTGTTCTTTGCACATATATTTGCAGTAGTTATATTTTCTTGATTAATTGGCCCTTTTGTCAATACATAATGTCCTTCTTTGTCTTTTGTAGCAATTTTTACTTAAAATCTATTTTATCTGTTATTAGTGTAGCTATTCAGCTATATATACTATATACTGCTATCCAGCTCTCATTCGGTTGCTGTTTGAATGGAATACCAAATAGTATTTTCCTTTTTTGTTATTTCTTTTTCAATGTATTTGTGTCTTTGAGTGTAAAGTGAGTCATATTTAAGTAGTGTAAAGTGGGATTGTGTTTTTAAAAATTCATTCTGCCAATCTCTGACTTTTAATTTGTGAGTTTAATTTATTTATGTTTAAAGTGACTATTGATAAGGAAAGACTTTTGCCATTTTGCTATCTATCTATCTATTTATTTGAGTTGGAGTCTCACTCTGTTGCCCAGGCTGGAGTGCAGTGGCACGCTCATGGTCACCCCAGCATCGACCTGCTAGACTCAGGTGATCCTTTCACCTCAGTATTCCAAGTAGCCAGATCTGCAGGCGCACGCTAATTTTTCATCTATTGTAGAGATGAGGTCTCACCAAGTTGCCTAGGCCGTTCTTGAACCTGTGGGCTCAGGCAATCCCCACACCTTGACCTCCCAAATTGCTGGAATTATAGTCTATTTATTATTTTTTATATGTCTTAAATCTTTTTTTGTTCCTCAGTTCCTTCTGTTGCCTTCTTTTATGTTTGATTTTTTTCCCCTCATGTACTATTTTTATTTCCTAAATTTTCCCTTCTGTATACCTGTATTTTCTCTTCCGTATGCATTTCAAATGTATACATTGTAGTTTGAATTAATACCAACTTAGTTTCAGTAGTGTACATTAACTCTGCCCCTGTGTTTTTTGTTGTCACAAATGACACCTTTATACATTGTGTGCCCATTAACATAGACTCAAAATTCTTGTTTTCTGCACCTTTTAATTCATGTAAGAAACAAAAAAGGAATTATAAACCAAATGTACAGTAACATTAGCTTTTATATTTACCTATGTAGTGACCCTTACCCAGTAATCATTATTTTTTGTATGGCTTCAAGTTACCATCTAGTGTCCTTTTGTTTCAGCTGGAACAATTCTTTTTAATACTTCTTGTAAGGAAGATCTACTAGTGATGCATTTTATTAGCTTTTGTTTACGTGGGAATGTCTTAATTTTGCCTTCATTCTGAAGGATAGTTCAGCCAAATATCTCTCTTAGCTATAGGAATCTTGTATTGCGTATGTTGGTGTACTTTATGATATTCCATAGGTCTCTTAGGCTTTGTTAATTTTTTTTTTTCCTTTTTCTTAAACTGGGTAATTTCAATTGCCCTATCCTCAAGTTTGCTGATTCTTTTTTCTGACTGCTCAAACCTGCTGTTGTACCTCGCTATTGAATTTTTCACTTCTGCTATAGTACTTTTTAGCTCTAGAATTTCTGTTTGATTCCTTTCTATAATTTGTGTTTTTATTGATATTCCCCATTTCTTCATACATTATCCTGATTTCCTTTAGTTCTTTGTCTAAGACAGTTAAAGTCTTTGTCCAATGTTTGAGCTTCTTCATAAATAGTTTAGGTCAGTTTCTTTTTCTTTTTTCTGTGAATGGGTCATATTTTCCTGTTTGTATACTTTTTATGTTGAGCTAAACATTTTGAATATTGTAATAAAATAATTCAGGAAATAATATTCTCCATCTCCAGGGATTGCTGTTCTTGTTGAATGCTGTAGTTATCCTTTGTTTAGTGACTTTATCAAACTATTTTTGCAAAGACTATATTCCTTGTTGTCTGGGATCACTGAAATCTCTGTTCTGTTATTTCTGAGGTCTACCAGTGATTTCTTTAAACACCTGGATCCAATAAGGGAAAAAGAAAGCTTCTGTCTCTAATTCTTTTTGAAAGACATTGCTATGGAAGCCCTCAGCCCTAGGGGTTTTGAAACAGTAGCCAGCCTTTGCTCCAGCCAGGCAAATCAAAACACACCCCTCCTACAAATTGTGGAGAACAATGTTCCCACCCTGGTACAAGCCGGCCTCTCTAGAAACATGAACAACAGTCGCCATGGCTGTCTGCTATGGGGCTGGGACTGACACTTCTTGCCAACTCAGTAGTTGATTTAGTGGAGAAACTAATGCTTGGAGAATCCTACTGTATCATGTTCTGTGATGTCATTCCTGTATTGCTTCCTATTAAGGTAATAATCAATATTACAATGTTGGATTAGCATGTATTATAAAAAGAACTTAAGAGTGAATGTGAGTACTATATAGAGTTATTTTTTACAAGTTATTTACCATTGTATTTGTTCATCTCACAAATTAGGATAGTTGACCAAAAAGACTCAGTTTTGTATGTGTCTGTAGTGGTATCATTACATATCATTTCATCGTAACTTGTGGCTATGCATACGTAATTCCAAGTTTACGTTCATATGTGATTCCAAGTTTACAGAAGCCTTAAATAGAAGGAATATAGGCTCTTTAGAGAGATATTTGTGGTATGCATATGTAAGTATAAATATGAGTAGGCATATATATGTATACATATATTATGTGTCGTTAAGATAATACATATATAAAATATTAAGAGATTTGTTTTCTGTGTGTCAACGTTTTCTCATGGCTAAAAATAATGTGATTTCATGCACACATTTTCTTCTGTTATAGGACAGTTCGTGTTTGGTTAAAGAGGGACAGCGGACAGTATTGGCCAAGCATATATCATGCCATGCCTTGTAAGTATCTGGATCTCTCTGTCTTGAAAAACCAGAAATTCACGCTAACTCCCCTTCCTTCCCAGATTGCCTTCTCTGTATTTTCTTCTTGAGTTGGGAAGATTGAGGTTGGGATTCTTATTATAATGAAAAGTACAATATTAAATCATTTTAGATTTTCTAAGGCTTTCACTATATAAAGTATGAAAATTGTTCTGAAATTGACTCTATATTCTTAGTTTCTGAATAAGATTAATGGAAGAAGGACTGTAGCACATAGGCTCTGATTACAGCAGTCTTCCTCTCTTTTCTAACATTTTGTTTAACTATTTTGTAAAGTATATCCTTAGACAATCCAAAATTTTGTCCAGTGATTACGTTTGTGAAGTAAATTTGTCCTTGAGTTATTGTTATATCATTTATTCAAATTCAAGATGTTCAGCGTTGAGCATTCAGTTCTCAAAAGAATTTGCTTAGGATTGAAACATTCTAATTAGAAGTTGATCTCATTTCCCAAGATTTTATCTTTGAAATATGTCCTTACACTGGTGAATAATGAATCTTCCAAATACACTTTTCAAAGAAAAGATATGAGTGATTCTTAGATTGTTGCACTGGCAGTTCTCCCACAGGTGGAGAAGAAATGACCCCCCAAAATAGGAAATTTCTTTTTAGTGAAGTATTTTATCTTAAAATTAGTGATGTTTGGGCATCCTAGCCCATGTTTAGTTTAGTGTAAAATAATTATTTAAATTCATTATCAGTTGTATTAAACATTTCCTTTCTTCCCTTCCCTTTAGAACTTAGTTAAAATTGACACCCTAGAAAAATCTCCCAGTTTTGTTGTTTGGGCTGATATACCCTCTGGCTTACTGCAACGTGCTCCTCATCTCTTGATATCCCCATCCCAATTTCAGAAGTCCATGCCAAAATAAATTCATGCTAAATTGTAGATGTGGGTAAGCTTATGCCTCTGGCAAAAGAATACTGTAATAACTCAAGCAACAGTTTTTGCCTGTTTATGAACAAATGAATTATTAAGGATATTATGATTTTCAAATTATCTTTGAGGCTTTGCATGTCTTTAGAATTTTATAGTAAATAGGTAGTAACCATGAAGCTGAACCAAGTATTCACTCCTTTTTGCAAGGCAGAAACTTCTTATGATTATGAATACTATGTCCTTCCTTTATCTGTTTTACTTCCAGAAGACACTGTTATATGTTATGGGCCCTAGATGAACTTTCTTTTTAAGCCATGGCAGTGATGTGGGTTTAGACAAATGGAAAGAGAAGGGATTATCTGTTATTTTCCCCCTGATTTGTAAGTGATATATATATATATATATACCAAGTCCTTTCTGTGATCTTGCTTCTTCATTAAACTTAACACAGTATCTAACTGGAAGAGATGGAGATGGGCTATAATCCAGCAAATTGAAGGTGGCCTCAGAGACCTAAAGCTCTTATGACTGTGCAGACAGAAGAGACAGACCTGGGGAAAATGATGGGGATTTGGGGATGGCAAGCGAGAAATCTTCTTGAGATAAGCTTTAATAGGAACCTCTTGAAGGCTCAGAATCCTATGCAGTTGCTTACCCACACCTTCCTCATATGCACATAAACATACATTTTTGTGTCATTCTCTAATGTTCTCTTGTTTTCAATATGACTGAGAATACAGAGAAGCCTTTAGTTGTGTTTTCATCATCTGTTAATTCTAGAAATGCTAGATGACTAAAGGTTGCTATAGCTACTATGACTGGCATAGGTGCTCAATAAATTCTTATTGAAAGAGTTGGCTGGACTCGGCTCATCCTGTAATCCCAGCACTATGGGAGGCCGAGGCAAATGGATTGCCTGAGCCCATGGGTTCGAGACCAGCTCGGGCAATTTGGCGAGACCTTGTCTCTACAATAAATAAAAAATTAGCTGGGCATGGTAGTGTACACCTGTAGTTCTGGCTATTTGGAAGGATGAGGCGGAAGGTCGACACTGGAGTGACTGTGAGTATGCCACTGCACTCCAGCCCAGGCGACAGAGTGAGACAAAAAAAAAAGAAAGAGTCAGTTTAATAACAAGGAAGAGTTTTCCCTGAGAACATTTATTATTCATTTTCCTTATGACTGAACATAAACTTAGAGAAAGAGGACCTTCTAATTATTTGTATACTTTGCCTGTGGTGTTCTACTAAAGGAAGTTAAAAAGGGATTGCTTTGCTATCCAAAGTGTGGTCTGTGGACCGCAGCATCAGCATTACCAAGAACTTATTAGAAATACACTGTTGGGTTCCACCCCAGAACTCCTGAATCGGAATCTGCATTTTAATGAAATCCCTAGATAACTTGAATGCACACTAAAGTGAGAAGATTGTCTTGTGATATTATACCCAACGTGTTGATGATCTGTGTACATGTTTATATGAATACATGTAAAACTTTATTCATATATAGTGTTGATTTATAAATATAGAGATGCAAGTACACATGCTAGTCATTCAAGCACCAACCGTGCACCTACTGTATATACGCCACCAATCTGGATGCCAAGGATTTACAGATGAGCAAGGTGCATGTGGTCAGGATGATTTCTGTAGTCTTTCACTATTGGATGGTTTCACTACTGTGTAGAAATAAAAGAAGAAAAGGTGTGTTCATCACAACTGGTCAGAAACTGGTTTTTAGGTTACTAGGAATGTTATGCATTCAAGTGACATAGTAGTTGACCTCTGAGCAAGAATTTAAATTTCATTTAACCTGAGAAAGGCAGACTTTTATTGTATAAGGAAATAAGCTACATTTCAATCAGTTAAAGAACCTGAAATAGAATTGAGTTTCCAAGGGGTTGTTTTGCAATTCTTTCTATTGAAAACCTGTATGATAACCACTAATATACCTAATCCTGAATTGTACCCCACATCTTTTAAAAATTAAAAAAGGTGTTTTGTTAAGAGGTTACTCAGTATTATCCTTAAATAACAGTTATGTGAGATTGGTTACAAAAATAAGTAAAAATACATAATATATCCAGAGGCTATAAAATGAATTCCACAAGGCAGATGTAGCCCTATTTTGTGTTTATAGATATAGTAAGTAGTATTCCAAATACAGAAGAAAACAAAAGGAGAATAATCTGAGCATTTAAAATCTGGCTTAATTGTTCATTTTGTCTATTAAAATACCTTTTAAATATAGAATTTGTCATGTTCTGGGCAGGAGTGTAGATGTAATGTAGCTTTGAAAATAATTTAAAGTTTAATGAAAGAAAGGGAGCAGAAGGCATTGGATGAGAAAGACTAAATAGTGAAGGCTAAGTTGGTGATAGAGAACCACCCTGAAAGGCTTAGTGTGCTGGGGCTCAGTGAGCTTGAGAGTGTGGCAGACAAGAGAAAGATGAAAGCAGACATAGCACGAACATAGACAAGCCATGCTCTGGGGTGTCTTGATACCCTGTGTTTTCTGAGAAACTCCTCCTCCCCCATAGGAGGGAGCCAAGAGAAACCAGACTTGCCGGTTAAGGCTGTTTGTCCCTGGGCTAATCTGATTTTCCCAGGAATTCAGAATGTGGAATGGGAAATGCTAGTCTCAGCCTGGGCAGGTTGCTTTGAACCTAAGAGCTGTGAGGTGCTTGTGTGCATGGAGAAAAAGTGAAAGCTGATCTGCAGAAAAGGTAGGAGGAGCCAGCTAGGGAAGAGCATCTGGCTCCCGAGGGATTTGAGGGAGAGAAATCCTGAGCAAGTGATGCTCAAGGTTTTCCTCATCCTCCTAATCGCAGGAGAAGCCTGACTGTGTTCTGCCTTTGGGTTCAAGAGCTATCCCCTTCCTTATTGAATATGCCCATTTCTGCTTACCCAGGTTGTTTTCTGTTACTTGTAACTGCAAATATTTGACTAAACCCAGCCCTGATTGTATACCTCCTGATTCCTGTGTATTCACTTTTTCCTGGATCGCTGTGATCTTTAATGAGAGTGGACTGAACCATGCCCTGTTGGTGCCACTATGGTGCTGAGCTGAACGTAGTCTGGGAATGGTGAGGGCATGTAAAGAAGGAAAGCAGAGAGTAATATTTTATCCCATTTTCTTTAATTTCTTTGGATAGTTCATTCAACAAAAGTCGTTTGTTTCTTCTGCATCCAACACTGTGCAATGTACTAAGAATACAGTGGTTAACTATGGCAGTCCATCCCTGTCTTCATGGTGTTTACAGTCTGGTGAGGAAGGCAGACATTAAATGAGTACCAACCATGATGTGTGGTGAGCATCATGAAATAGGAAGTAGGCATAATTGGGACATGGTCACAAAGTCTCTCCGAGGAAAGTCCATCTTAAATTCTTTCTGTAATGAATTTGGATGTGACTGCTAACTTGTTTTGTAGTTTAATTATAAGCTAGCTGATGTTTATGGATGAATGAGAAACCATAGCCTTTCTTTCAAACATTCTTTCAACAAAGAGTATCCTCTTGGTGTATCTCACACAGTAGCTGTTTAATTGCCTGTGACAATATCAACTTACAACTTACCCTTCTGAGACCCTGCCTGAGCTTGTAAACTGAAGCGGGACCTTCTGCAGGGTATAGAGTTGAAGTTTCACTTGCAGCCATAAATGTGATTCTTTGTTCCAGGTTTCTAACACATACCATTTTAACCACCACATTTGTATCATGCTACACAGAAAAAGCACAAGCATTCCTATTTTCATGGTTGAGTTATTTCAGATTTGCTTTCTTAGCCAGGTTTTGCCATTCATGGGGCCAGACAACGGAGAAAGGTAGGGAGGAAGCTCATGCAGGAGGTAAGGTGGCAGGTGTTGGGGATTTTTCTTACTCTATCAGAGGATTGAGTGTCATGGTTGGCCTTGACAACTTCTCCCCTGGGTATGTAGGACAGATCAATCACGGTGGCTATCAAAGATGTTGTGGACAGGCAGCTTATCCATAAGGACTGAGTACCCAGTCCTTAGAGCTATTGCTTCCAACCTTTGCCTTATGACACACACAGCAAATTCTATTTGTACAGCCAGAA